ATCTTCATCATTCTTTCCTCACGCTCAGGACATGCCCAATGCCATACAATGCAGCGTGTGGTGCCTCAGACCTCCACTGCTGAAAGCAGAGACCTCACACCCAGGGCCAACAGTTTCAAAGCGCTTCCAGACAGCCAGAAGCCCCAAAGCCGAGCCCCGTGTTAGGTGTGTTGCAGCACACCACCACCGTGGTTCCAGCACAGAAGAGGGTAGACTTCTTGTTTAGGACACTAGAGAAAAACATTTTTAAAAACTTCACCACAAGACACAAAAGGAACAACTCAAAACTAGGAGGTTTGTTGACCCTCTAAAATGTAGGAGTAACGTTGTATAGCTTTTAATATACAACACAATCCTTCCGTAGTCCAGCTGTGGTTGGAATAAGAACTGTTGTAAATGAGGTTCAAACAACAAATGATGAAAAAAATCCACATTTGCGAGGAGGAATTATTCACCTTGAATAATTTGTCTACCTTCCAGTATAGGATGATTGCTGAGATACCTTTATAATACCAAATATGGTAATTCATCACTGCATGAGGGAATAAAAGAGAAGATAAAGACTAAATCACCAATAAAATTAATATTTAAAATGTCAGCTTCCTACACTTTTCATCTGATACCATCCTTTAAATCAGACATTTTCACTAATTTACTACTGCCTAACGGAGAAATCTCAGGGAAGTGCCTGTAAACACAGAGGTTCAGAGTGATACTGCTGAGATTGATCTTCTCTTTGTCTGTGGTGTTGCATTACCATAAGGAAACCCCGAAGGTCTCAGCGTACAATGGTCTTACCTGAGGCATTAGAGCAGGTTATCAAACCTTTTGGTAGTCATCATCAACTAAAGTTTATCTTAAATGGAAAATAAACACTTTCCAGTCTCTAACAAATCTAATTTCTTCAGTTTTTCTGATTTCTGTTTTAGTCCTCTTATAAAGGAGGCGGGAGGAAGGGAGGCTGCAGGGCCATTGCTGTTCAGCCCTTCTCCTTTCTGACCAATCTACATTTAACTAAAATTTAAATGCTCTTTACCACATTGAACTTTAGTCCCCATTCAGCAAAATTCGAGGCCAGTTGACCTCAGGGAGTTCTCCTGACTGAAGGGCTGTTTGCCCTGGGCGTGCACATGCTAAGACAGGGTGAGCTGTTATTAGTGGGAGGCAACACAAATGTAATTAAATACATTCGTGTAGTATTTTAAGCTGTTCTGAAGTGCACAAATTAAATTTCTTAAAAAGTGAACTAAAATTAGAAATTCTTTAGAAGGGAGGTTGTTGCCATACTTACTTGTTACCATCTGCAAGGGACTCCCATCTTTTACATTAACATTTAAGCTTCTGAGCCAGGGGCTGCTTAACTGGGTTGGTCGTACTTCTCTGGAGAGCGCCACACTCAGACTTTACAGACACAAACAGCACAAGCCGTATGTACAAACAGAAAGCACGAGGCCAGAATAATTTGAACATACACTTCCGCAAAACACGTTATTTCCTTCCCTATGCTGTTCACAGAAGGGAAAGACGCTGGGCCCTGCTGGATGGGGTTAGTCCTAAGCCATTGGCATCAACGAGTAACAGCCACCCTGGCACCTGGAAAATGGCTAGAATACACAGCTAGAATTTTTATCGGATAAATACTAAGCGGGAACCGTTTCTAAAGAGAGATTGCGCCTGGTTAGCTGTCAGCAAGCCTCTGTGTGCCTGCAGCGCAAAACTACCCAAACTTCCACCTGCAAATACTACCCCTCTACTGTAACTGCCCGTGTGCTGCGGGGGGGTCTGCTGAGAACACGTCCCGGCACCGGCGTGCAAGCTGGGGAGGAGCCGGCTTGCAGTTGTGTTAGGAATTCTCCTTTTGACCACAATTATATTTTGGGTTTAGTTTTGCTGCTGGAGATGAGTGCAGCGCATGGGCAGGCCCAGCTGGTTTGAGAGGCTGCAGGGCAGCTGCGCCTTCGCCACGATCTCTTCTGGAAGAGGACAAAAATGAAGGGATTGCCCTTAGGAACCCGGCGAGGACAAAGTGCATTCACTGGCACTGGTTTTGGCTTGATGTGACAATTTACCTTCATTCAAAGTTGTAGGAAGCCAACAAAATGGAAAGGTTCACAGTAGAGCTGGTTATTTTGAAAGCCTGAGCATCTACACCCTGCACCTCCCTTGGCAAAATCCGACAGAAGAGGATGATGCTGAAGACCAAAATAAACTCCAATTTGCTTGAAGTAAATTTGATGGCTGTACAGTTCCTTTTTCCATAATGCTGTATCTTCCCACCACATCTGTTACTTTAAAGGCCATCTAACATTTTCCCAAAAGTCCAAAGTGAGACATCAACAAATGTGTTCCTGTATGTCCAATAAAGAAAAACACCCTAGTTTTAATTTGAAAGGAGAATAATGGATTAGCGCTAACTCACCTTTTCAAAACAACCTTTGTCTGACTATGTATGGAATTATTCTCCGTAAGCTAAGCCTGCATAGATATACTTGACTTGCAAATGAAAGATTGTACCCATCAGAGATAAATAACTTCAAAAATTACTTTATGTTAAAGGACTTCACATCATTGCAAAGCTGAACATGAATGAGTACAACTTGTCTTTCTCTATTCTGACTAAACAAAAAAAGACCTATTTTTCAAAGCGTGAAATAATAATTTGCTCAAAGGTTACTTCCCCTCTTGATTAAAATGACTAAATAATGCATTGTACATGAATCACGGAGCTTTTAAAATCCTGATATGACTCCATTAAGCGCTCGGGGCTGGATGTCTGCCACAGCCGTCACATGAAGGTGGGATCCCACTGCCCTGCTGCCTGCCTGCACCCGCTCACGGCGGGCTGCACCGCGTTTCTCTCTCTCTCACTGCAAGCCCAGTGAGGCTCCGCGACTGTGCTTTATTGATGGCCCCTACCTTAAAAGGGGAAAAATGCACCGGTTTTCAGTAACAGTTTAAGTGTTTTGTGAATTGCCCCATTTTCATAGAGAGGAGAGCTTTTATCATAGGACACAGCACCGGCCTTCCCCCCCGAAACAGCAGGGCCCTCCCCTGCAAGGTGCCAGGAGCCAACAGCTCCCACTGAAATCAATTACGGTCGAGTCAATGGAGCTGAGAGTACTTAAAGTCATTCAGGAAGCACTCAGGGCTTGGTAAAGCGATGGCATCATGTAATTTAATTAGTACAGTTAGATAATCTGATTCTTTCAAGCAGGAATTAAAAAAAAGTTTGATTTTCAAAGGCAATTTAGCAAACATAACATCAAACCACTCTATTCTTTATAACTAAGAACATATTTATTTTATAGCTTCTACATTAGAGGCCATTAGCGTGGACTTGTCATGTAATGCAGCAAGTTTGTTTAGGATGAACATTAGCCATCCTTTCATTGTGATGTATTAAATCAATGCACCTGGTAATGTATGTTTAGAGAAGAAAGTACTTACACTGCAGGATATTGGAACAGTATCAATAGATCAGTTGGTTATAAATTATTTTAATATCCTCTTCATAAAAAGAAAATAATCTATGAGGGGAAAAAAACTTAACATCCTAAAGTCTGAGAGAATGGGTGGCTAAATAAAGGGTACGTAATACTCCACTGACTAATGGAGCAGCGCACGCCGTGGCAGTCACTGGCAGTCACTGGGGTTCGTCAGGACGCAGACGATGCTGCACCAGCCCTGCGGTGGGCAGGTCCTGCAGGGCCTTCACCGGAGCATGGCTACACTGCCATGCTTTGACTTGGGGCCAGTCTGCAAGCTGATTGTGCACTTTTAGATTTTTTTAGGATTTGGATAATAATCAAGGGATAATGGTTTAGAAGAAACGTGGATGAGTTTATACTGAGACACTGAACGCTATAAAAAAGCATGGCAAACACGAAAAGATGGTGACTTCAAATAAATATTGAGACAAGACCCAAAACATGCATCATGAGAGTATGGGTGTCACATTTGGTCCCATGTCCTTGGAAAAGGCAGCGACAGTGAAGGGATACAGTCCTGGAAATCATCTGCGCACTCACGAGACCGTGTGAATGGTAAGACAAATGTCTGAGGTGGCAGTAGAGAAAAAGTCACCCTAAACCCCAGAAAGTATTGGTGGCCTGCCAGGCTCTCGTGCAAAGGCTTCCCTCTTGGAGGGAGCTCCCTCCCGCAGGGAGTTCTCCCCTTTTCCAAGCAACATGATCCAATTTAATCTCTCCAACAAGTTTCCAAACACACTGGAGGAATACCCCAAAGCCAGAAGCACGAGGCTATTGCCTTTGGGACTCAAACTGTTGCCCCAGAGACTCAAATGGCTCGAGTAGGTGATCGAAGGTGGACCAGCACACACAGAGCCAGTGAGGATCAGATGAGCAATGACGGGTGAGGAAGCCCAGTAACCGCCAGAGGTGGGGACCCTGCTGGGACACCGCTCGCGGGGCCACCAAAGGAGGAGCAGCAGTGCGTGTCCTGGGGAAAGCCACCAAGGTGGGTCACGGAGAGGAACTCCTTCCTGAACGCCCTGCAGAGTGAAGGGGGTCATTGCCTACGGGATTTAGGACTCACTTTGGGATGCAGAAGAAAGAGTACTTTGGGATTGTGTAAAGCTCATTATGGGATGTTTATGGGAACTAGCAAAGACAGGGAAAGGGAGGGACCAAGGTGGATCAGCAAGGAACAAATGGTGGGAAAATAGAGGTATGGGCTGAGAAACATAACTGTTTCATAGAATTCCCCTAACCAGTTAGTAACCCAAGGCCTCTTCCCGATATCTGAAATGTGAACAATATTAATAAACACTGACACAGATAAAAAAAACTCCTTACAAAACATCCTAATCATTTTTAAAAAATATTGACATCTCTGCTAGTAAATGTAAAACAGATTTGAAGCAAGCTCCAGACGTTTGAATGCCCATCCTTATCCATTCATCCCAGTCCAGCACTGAACTTTCATTTACTTATTATCAATAACGTGTTAGTAAAAACATAGATGCAGACAGCAACACATACCAGTCTACGAATTTCTCTCTCACACTCCCGCTTAATTCTGTTGATTTCCTCTTGATGCAGGTGATACACACTCCTGATCTCTGCTGCTTTAATTTTGTCAGCTTGGATGACCATAGTTAAAGCTTCTTCCACTTGTTTCTTAGCCCCCTTCAGCTCTGAAATTTCTTGCTGCATTTTTATTTTCTCAACTTCAAACCCTTTCTTGGCCTCCTCCTTCGCCTCTGTGAGCAGCACCGTTTTCACCTTGTCAGGAGCGCCATCACGTACAGCATTGAGCAGGGTCTGTAGTCTCTGGATTTCATTATCTTTAATTTTTATTACTCTAAGTAGTTCAGCTTCATGCTGTCTCAAAAGTGCTTCTCGAACAGCTTGGAGCTCCTTCATTTTCTCTTCATGAAGTTTGACTTTGAGCTCTGTTACCACCACTGTACTTTTATGCTGTTCGTGCTCTTTGATCTGCTTAACTTCCTGATTTTTCTCTCTTTCCAACTTGCTGACCTACAAGGAAAATCAAAAAAAGTATTTTTAATTAACAGAATGACTAATACAAATTATGATATTATCTAAAAATGGTACGGATCACGTTACAATATTAGACTTTAATGTTGTATGTCTGTGCCTCAGAGCGAAAGCCCAGCCCATTAGTACCACCCCGTGCAGAACGACATATTTGGCATTTTGTTCATTCTTTATGATCAAATACTTTATTACATATTAAACATCGCTTTTTTAAAGATGTTCCGGGTAAAACTAGGGTCACTGAGCTTTGCCGCACAGCCTTCATGCTGTAGACTCGCAAAGGAGAAATTTCCTCTCTTGAAGCGTTTTGTGTGAAGAAAACACACGTTACAAACCCCTGTAAAACATTTTCACAGCGAAAAGGTTTTTTACAATTTATGGCAAATACTTTCAATGCACTGTCACAGCTGTCGTTATCGTTAATGAGGCAGCTAACCTGGCAACGCAGTCAGGAGTATTTGGGGCTGCAGAAGTGACTCTAAATCAACCACAAACACCCCGGGAACAACCGTGCCTGAGCCCTGACGGGCGCCCGCCCTCTCTCCAGGAGCGCGAGCGGGTGTTCCCCCCTCATTGATACAGCCACTGCAGCTCCACGTAATCCAACTCAACGGTGGCCACAACTACCATCCTTAAGACCCAACCTGTCCCCTGGGTAGCTATGGCTATGAACCGCTGTGCTTAGGCACTACTGTCCCGCTTACTGTCCAGGACGCTGCAGTGCATGCACTGGGGGCTCTCCGTCCCTGCCGGGGAGGGTACGCGTGTGCGCACGCACCAGGAGAGCCCGCAGAGTTGGCAGGTGGTCATCACTGATTTTCTGGGCTACAAATGAGAATCACGTGCCTTAGGGGAAAATACGCCCCCCCCCAGCGTTTTATTGAAGCGGTTGGTGCATAAGGGCGGGTATTGCGCTGGGAGCCCGTCCCGGTGGGTGTTTGCAGCGGTGCGTGCAGCGCTCGCGGGGCTGACCCTCTCCCCTGGGCCGCTGCAGTCAGAGGCAGCGAGCGCACGTCTGTTTGCTCTGTCTTTTCTGCCCTGTGAGGTTTCTCAGAACACCCTGTGCGCTTTTTTAAATGCTAAAATTAAGAAGTGGATATTCACTACATTATGTTTAATTACTAAAGTGTTTATTGGGAAAAACGTTCCGGTCAATTCTGTTCTGTAGAGATGCATTTTCCTTCCTCAGTTGACATAATAAGGTTTACATGCTAAGAATATGCCTAAGCCTGCCTCGCAAATGAGAACACTGCAGAACCAAACCGTGCAGGTATAAAGAAAAAAACTGACATTATGGAGAACTTTGAGAATTCTTCTAAGGAAAAAGTAAGTTGTCAAAATAAGAAAAAGAACCCTGGAAAATTTGTAGAAAAGACCCTTCTTTTACTGGAAACCAGCAAAACCAGAAATATCTGCATATTTAGAAAAAGAGAAAAAATGTATAATTATCATTTTGCCAATTATTGATATTGCAGATGAAAGTCTGGACACCAATGCTGAATTTAGCATCATATTCTATTTTTATAATTAAATAATAATCCCTTGCAATCTTATGGACTCTTCAATTTGCCCAATTCAGTGCCATAAAAAACATGAATTAACGCAATATAAATGAGTACCATAAATGTATGCAAGAGGCACAAAACTCAGGTGAATTAACCATCCGTACCCAAACGCTACAGGAAGTGCACACTCAGAAACTAGGCTTACCTCTGCGTAATCAGTGCTAGAAACAAAGTAATGTTTAAGATAAGACACATTTAGGAACTAGCCAGTATCTTGTGGAGCAAGTCTGAGTTCTTCCTTTATTTTTCAGCTCGATAGCTGCAGAGCCTCTCACACCACGTCCCCAAAAGGATACGTGAGAAATCTGACGCTAAGCCGTTATTTTGGCACGCTCAGGCACACAGATCCAAACTGCACCGTGCACACGTGCACGCGCAGGGCATAAAAAGCTGTGTGCAAGCTACTGTGAAGCCCCAAACAACTGCATTTTATCAGATGCTTTTTAAGCAATGAATTATGCATTACAGATAACTAACTATATCTGACCACAGAAGGGTCAAATGACGTTTCAATGTAAAACCATACCATAAACTCAAAAGAAGCCATGATGGGAAGTGGCTGGGGAGGACGGGAAGAAGGAAAACAGGGTCCTCGTTCTTAAAACTGCAAATGCTGCTTCACCGCAAAAGGATTAATGGATGTTCTTTATATTTATATATACACACACACACGCCCTTAGAAGCTTCCATAAAATTGGATTCGTAGTCTACAATGCCTAATAATGATGCAAATTAACGGAAAAATGCAGAACATCATTCTGTTCCTGCATGGTAATGCATGTCTCTATTAACAAACTGGAACCAAAAAACCACCAACGTTTATCAGCAGAAACTAATTTGGGGGATTAGGGAAAAGCAAATAAATTTGTCATGCCCTCACTGAGAAGTGGGCTGTAGGCTGTGGCTGAAGGCTCTTAAAGCTGAGGCTCAAGCTGCATCAGCCGCCACTCTCAAAGGCTCAGGGCGAAACTGTGGCTCCCTAAACTTTGGCAATCAGAGCAGGAGGCAGAGCTGAGGCTTATTACTGTACATCTGGAAATTGTAAGCAATCAGTTTGAAGGATTTTGAGCATAAAATCCAAGTGAAATTGGTGTAAATGTTAAAGAGAAGAATCAGCAAAGAGAATTTCTGAATAACACAAAACTGCATTCAAAACCCTCAGTGTAGCCATCCTCATAAATAGGTAAATATTTACTTGAAAAAGTTGCAGTGAGAAAAACAAAGGAGGTGGACAGCTTTCAGCCCATCACTATGAGTATGCCATCTGTTCTGAGCAGATGTTTGTCTTTCCAGATCTTTTGCTGGCATTTAGCTATGCGATTTTTCAACTCCGTTTCTCCCTGCATGGCAGGAGCAAGCGTGCTGCCCGCAGCGGAGTCCTGCCTGCCCAGGGACCGGCCATCCTCCCTGCTCGGCTTTCCCACCGAGAGCCGTACCACCAAAGCACCCTCGCTTTTGGAATTCTTTTGTACCATATGCATGGTATAAATACAAGGGGAACAATTTAAAAATCTGCAGTAGAGGGGCTGCCTCTTGCTTCCACGTCGTGTACAAGTTAGTTACGAGCAGAGCAAAGAGTGGTTAGCATTCAGAAACAATAGACTTTGTTTTAATTAACGGCAGAAGGAAAGGAAAAGATGCACACCTTACTCTTTTCTTGCTGGAGCTCTATCTGGATGTCGGTGAGCTTGGCCCTGAGCTCCTCATTGGCAGCCTGCAAGGCGGCCAAGGCGTCCGGCTTCTCCCCCCTGGCTCGGCTGCTGGAGCCCTTCTTGGACATGGTGAGGCCGCGTGGCAGTGAGGGGAGTCCTGCCCGGAGGCCCTCGTCCCAGCGCTCGCTCGGAGCTTCTCGTCCTTGCCTCCGTCCCACTACATTTTCTTACTTGCCTGGAAGGAGGGAAATCACACAACCGCTGTCAGAGGGCCAGGGGCGGGCAGGCGACGCGTTACCCACCAAGAGCACAGGGAGACACAAGACATTTCTGGGAAGCATGAGGTACACATCACCCAGCTAAAGTGGCTCTTCCCTGGATTAAATAAGAGCTAGACACATTGTCAGGTGTAATAATACATTTTTTTACACCTGTTGAGAGCAAAAGATTTAAATCACAAGCGATAAACATTTTCTGTCACTTCATTTGCACTGGGATTCACACAGCGCGGAGGATGTGGGTGTTCGGGAGGGACGTCCAAGCGCTGTCCCCCAACACTGTCATGGCCCGGAGACAGCAACAGCTCGGAAAACTATTTTCAGTATAGGCAGAACACTTTTATGTTCTTTCCTACAAATAGTTTTCAGATATTTATGATGAAAATAGTACAAATAACAAAAAAAGTACAGGTGCAAGCAGAGATTACCCAAAGGCAACAGAAGCTTTCTATATGGGAGTGTGCAGTGTATCAAGAAAACAGCAATTAAGATCTATATAGCTTTACCTAAGTCTGGTAACAATGCAGGAGTTTCATTTACACTAAGAACTTTTGCGTTACATCTAAGCAAACAAACTAGACAAACAAATTCATTCTATTAAACAGTGGAGAAGCAGGCAAAAGTGGACCCAGCTTCACAGCATTCGTGTATTAATACAGTTTGCATTCAATGCCTACCCATTAATCCCAACGCATTCATAAACTATACAACATACACAATTTGTAGCGCTAACTTCAGATTTGTCAACAAAACATATAATATTAAGTGCAGTACTAAAAGCTACATGCATTTGTTGCTTTTTATTTCCAAATTCTCCAACACTTTGTCCAAGAATAAACTGCAGCATTCTGGAACGGGTAAGCGTTATTAAAGTTTGTAGAGACTGTGCCAAATTTAGAACGCAAAATTATCAATGAAACTCAAAGGTCCTTTATAATCAATACTATTAAGGAAAGAGTATCAGAGATATTGAAAAGTCATATCCTTGAAAAAATATATTCTAGCTTAGTATAACTGTCAGGCGTAGGGAGCCTAAGAGCAAGACACAAACTCACTCCAAAGAATTTGCAATCTGAGACAAAGACAAATAAAAATAGGGAGAAAGATGGTATTTTTTATCTGTTAGTGCCATTTTTATGCTGCATCCATCCTATTGGGGGTTGGAACTCTATGATCTTCATGGTCCCTTCCAACCTAAACCATTCTATGATTCTATTGTTCAGAAAACTATCAGAGTTTTATGTAAAAATAAATAATTAACCTATTCATGAAATCAAATGAAATCCTTGTGATCTGTGAGTTGCCTGCAGGGGCGAACTTGACTGAAGGTATCACAATTTGTCCTTATTTCATTTGATTTGTTTCTCAGAGCTGTTGATGCACACAGACAGTCCATTAATATTACGCAGTTGGTCCCTTTGTGCTGAACAAGTCAGTAGGAGGGTGTTCACGTTGCTGCCAATCCTTCCTCTCATCAGTGTTTAACTCAGTGTTCATCAATCGTATGCACAGATTTAATTTAATAGAAACTTGAAGATGGCACGAAATTCTGGGCAAAATGGTGTGTCCTGGAGGCTTTGTTTTGCTCTGGAGCAGTGGAACGTAGGTACTGCTTGCTCCATCCCAAATTATGGATGTTTCCCCAATGTTTCTTTCACACTTTGTATATTTTCTAAAGGATCTTCTCTTATAACAACATTGTTTGGTCAAAGCACTATGGAAGGAGAATCCCCATGCTACCGCACAAGTGCCTTGATAATTATCCCGGGCAATTTTTCAATCTGTAGATATAGGTTACAACTGTGAAAACCCAGTTCATGCCTATTTAAATGATAAACAACTACACACGCAAAGAAACAGTTGCCTCTGTTTCTCTAGCTAAAGCTGGCTCCACTATCAAAGCTCATTTTTAAATAGTCTATGAAAAAAGTTAACAGGAGCGAAATCCCGGATGAAATGCCTAGAGGACCAGCTGACAGCTGATGGTAACGCAACATGGGGAAACACCGTTAGCAAAGAGAAGGATCGAAATAACATTCAGAGAACTGGACGGTCCTACAGACTGCAGTAACAGAGGAGGTACGAAATCCAGCGGCAGAAAGGCTCTGACTTTCAAAAAAGGTCTCTGACAAGACTTGGGCCAGCTTCTGACCCAAGGACGAGGACGACATGGTGTCACTCTTTTGGAGCAAGCAGGAGAAGAGATCAGGAATTTTACAGCAACATGTAAATTTACAGAAGAACGTAAAAACTAATGAAAAAATGTTTCACTGGCAAACTTTGACTTGCTTAGTAAAACTATATCCTGAAGAGATTACATGTATTTCTTAGTCCAAAGCCTTACTTGGATTAATTTTTAACCGTCACTACAATTCCAGTTTGAACTAAACCCTTGTTTTAAAGATCTGTTTAATTTATAGTATAAAAAATACACAAAAAGCTCAAATTCGGAAAAATATTTCCAACATTGTTAATACTAACATTATTAATGCAGATAACAATCTTTTTGGACGATGACCTTCACTGCATTGTTTTATTCATCCTGACTCATAGTCAAAACCACAAGAGAGCAGCACTATTCCCTGTCCAAGCACGAGTAAAGAGGCTTAACAGTACAGAGCAGCTGCAATAATAGATTAACGATAAATAATAATAGTAAAATATCAATAATAATAGTAATAGAACAGCCTGACTTGAATTCCAAGAGCAAAACCCTGCATCCATTAGGGAGAAAGAGCAAAGGAGGATACATAAATGGGATACAATGCTGTGAGAAGGCTGAGAGCATCCGGGAGACGTGGTGGGAGTTCGGGAGAAACCAGGCAAAGCTGCTGAGAGCCGGGGAAATCAAATAGCGCAAGCAGTCACTACAAATCTACACTGGGTCAGAGGAACAGTGGGGAGGCCGAGACGTAGAGAAAAAAGTGAGGAAAAAGAATAAAATTCCTGATATTAGTTGACCTAACCAAGGTAGCACAAACAGTCTTAATTTGTTTCTCAGTCCCATGCTTGACTTTGTAGCCTTGAAGTGTCTATAAAAAAAAAAAAAAAAAACAAAAAAAAGTGTTTGGTTACCCCTTTCAATAGAAATAAATAAAATTTTACAGATATTGCCTGAAAAACCTGTAAACAGTAGACATTCTTAGCATTTAAGGTTCTTGCTTCTTTTGTGTCGAAGATGCAATACATCAGTGATTGTTCTGCAGTGGAGGTCTCAAAAAAACCCCTTTCTTTATAGATAAAAAAATAGGGCAGTCTATAGCCACAGGCACAGAATTCGACCTACAGTGATGAATGAAGCATTTGTGCATATTACAATTATCTTCTTAAATGAGATGTTATAACGATAGATGCAGTAGGTGAGTCGGGCTATTTCACAACCTGAGGAAATGAGAAGCAGCATAAGACAAGCTTGTAACGGCTTACATTTGAATGTCAGACAAGTAATAATTTGAACGATACATGCATTTGTGAAAATAATTTAAATCAGAGGGATTATTTTTGACAGACAAGGGCTAAAAGAATTTTTATTTGTTTACTTGCGGAAAATAAAACTAAGGAACTGATACAAGGGAACTGAAAGGCAAAAATGTTACTAGAGGCGTGCGAGGAGGAGCACAAGCCCAGCAGTTGGTTTTCTGGGAGACAGCGCATGGTGGTAGTGCAGCACAGTCCGATGCCCTGCGCACGCACTCCCCAGGCGTCCCTGCGAAACCCAGTAGCAGAAGATCAACCATTTTGCTACCGGGTGCTGGTATTGTCTGAGAGGCCGCTCAGGAGCGTGGTGCGGAGGAGCACATCGCCCCTGCAGAGCTGGGCACCTAACGGTTTCTAAGCACAGTTCGCTTGATGGGAACTCTGTCTGAGGTCGATTTGTAGCACTGTATGTCCTCATACGTTCAGTTTTTAAGCTTTTAACTAAGGTTTAATTGTATGAGTTGACCATTTCATGTCAACCATCTGCCTCAATCTGATTTTCTCTACTAAAAAAGAAATAAAAATTAAAATTGGTTAGCTTATTCCAAGAAAGGCAGGCTTCCATTGCAACGTTTGCTCCGGGCAGGTCTACAAAACCTCTAAAGAAGATGTGAAATATTATCAGCAAGGTGTTCCCTGTTGTCCCACAAAGGCGGTGGAGCCCGGTGAGCCTGCCAGAGGCTGCCGTTGCCCACCCTCAGCCAAGCTTCGCTAAGGCTGCACCAGCCAAAGCCACCGCCTCTACCCGGCCTCCGTCCCCCCCGCCCCCCATGCCAGGAGACTTTCTCCTCCGCGAGCTCAGCTGGGGCTCGTGTCTACATGGCTCACAGGAGGTTTGAGGTGCCAAAGGAAAGGGGACAGAAGTAACTTTCAGATCCTACTCGCTCCCATCAGCGCACTGTGGGCGAAGGGGCCGACATCAAAAACGTCTCCCAGACTGGAATGCTGAAGCATTAATGAGTTTTTCCCAGAAAAAAATCAGCTCCCTTGCCAGTACTTAAAGTAATAAGCCTGCTTCAAAAAGGACTACACTGAAATCAGTGGAGGGCTCTTTCAATTAAATCTTTAAGGATGAAAAGGGACATAATGATAAAACTTCAATGGAGCCAAGAATAACATCCAAGGATTAAGAGATCCGGATAATAGGAATTTGATCAGCCTTGGTAACGGTCTGTCTGCACAAACGTACTAAGAGGGAGACCTGCAGAACAATGGAAATCTGTTCCGCACACCGTGCTTCCCAGCACAAAACCCTGGGGGGAGGCAGGGAAGGCTTCTCAGAGTAAGACATGTGAGAAAGGAGTACGTTTCCCCTTTCTCATGGTAAAAAGGGACTACGTTCATTGTAGACTTGCTCATGCGGAGTGGGAAGG